GCCCAGGACGGCCTGCCATCAACCAAGATGACGTCCGCTCGGGACATCGAGACAATCGTTGTCTGCTGCGCTTTCCTCGCCCTGCTCCGCCCCGCTTCCCTGTCCATCTTCCAGTCCGCGTACGCCTTCGTCGCTCGTCATCGTGACCGCTGGGCCGCGCCGCTCTGGGAGTCTGCTCAAGGGGAGGTCGAGGCCTTCAGGAACAGCATGCCCTTGGTACGTCGTGATTTTGGGGCGTCCTGGAGTTCGCCGGCGATTGCATCGGATGCGTCGTTTTGTGGCCACGGCGTCGTCTCCCGTGACCTCCCCCCTGAACAGGCTCAACACCTGAGACGGGTCAGTGAATTGTGGCGCTTCCCGGGCAGGGCCCAGAAGCGTTTTCTTGCCTCTAGCCGTTGGCACCCAGCAGCGCCGCACCTCGGCGAAGATCTCGAGGGCGTACCCAGCCTCGGAGGGCGCATCCCCAAGATTTGCTGTCGCCTTCGGCGGCCAGCCAGTCTTGTGGACAGGTCGGGGAAACTCCTGGGTGGCTATTCCCTCTTCCCGCCCGCCGCCCCCCCGCGCCCAGCCCCCACCCCCCCGCGCCTCCTCCCCCTTCCGCCCCGCCAGGGTCAGGGACAAGTGCAGGGGTGGATGGCCGCAGGGAGGGGCGCATCGACCCAAAATTACCCACTGATCGCGGATAGGGGCCTGACAGTCCACCCGTCCCAGGACCGTGGGGTTTCGCATTCGACCGCGTATTAATGATTTACGGGCCGCGTATCAATGAAAATGTGGCCCGGGTTTCGTAATTGAGATCCAGATCGATTCGCGACCGATCTCGCCTCATCCCGTCATCACATCACCTCATCCCCTTCCTCCTGATTCCGCTGCCCCTCCTCCTTTTGCGTAGGATGCAACTTTGGGAGGTTAAGTACAGAGTCGGCGCTGGCATATCCATGGCAGAAAGCGCGAAGAATTCCGTATCATTATGCCCAATGCCGCCCCCGTTTGCCCCAGTAGAACGTGGTTCAGTCTTGGGTTCAATATTGGTTGAATTGGCTTAGTGGCCCTTTTTAATTTCGGACCCCTCAAACGGGAGATAACGCGTGCCCCCCCCACCCCCCGAGAGTCCCCCTCCCGTGACTGCAACGCGTGGGAACCGGCCACATTCGTGAATCAGTTCAGCTTCGATAGGAGCTGTGTTCGGGATCTTCAGGAGGATGGGGGGAAGAGGACGACGACGACCGACGTGCACAGGCATTGTGTCGTCGATGCCGTCGTCGTCGTCGTCGTTGTCGCCGTCGTGATGCACGCAGGCACTGAGGTGTACTGTCACGGTGTGGTGTGCACGGCTGCTGTGATGTGCGCAAGCGCCGTTGTGTACAACAACGGTTTTGTCCACGCAACTACTGTGGTGTACAATGGCGTTGTTGCGAACGCGGGTGCTGAGGTGCACAGAAGCGCTACCGTTTGCACAGGCGGTGTGGCACCATCGTGCGCGCAGGTCCTAGGGTAAACAGAGGCAGTGGTGTACACAGGCGCTGTGGTGCAAGCAGGCGTTTTCGTAAACACTTCTTGTGGTGCACGCAGGCGGCTGTTGCGCTGGCGTTGCGGGCGCGCCTTCGAGGGTGCACGCCAGCCGCCGTTACCGTTCCCCCCCCCCGTCGACACCCCCATAACGCGCGTTACCCCCAACGGATAAAAGATCGGCGCCCCGCGTGGTGGGTCAGTGGGGATGCGAGGTCACCGCAAGGTTTTGGGATCCGGGTCGTTCTCCGATGACGTCGCGGGCGACCAGGGCCTCAAGGGTCCAGAAGCCGCGCGGGGACGGACCGCGTGACGAGGTCGTTGGGGGTTTCTGGGGCCACCACGCGGTCCGTCACCACATTGTTTGGTGGTCCCTGCCGCCCGTTCCCGCGAAGGCCTCCCAAGACCGTGCTTCCCGCTCTCTGCCCCCCCCCCCTCAGAGCCCCGAATCATCAGGGATAACTCGGGTCAGGGCTAAGTCGGGTTCGTTTTTGCGGAAAGCCGAGGCCCCGGGCCCGAGCTGCCCCGGATAATTCGGGCGCCCAGAGCCCCGAATCATCAGGGGTAACTCGGGTCAGGACCAACTCGGGTTCGTTTTTGCGGGAAGCCGAGCCCGAGTTACCCCGGATGACTCGGGCGCCCAGAGCCCCGAATCATCAGGGGTAACTTGGGTCAGGGCCAACTCGGGTTCGTTTTTGCGGGAAGCCGAGCCCGAGTTGCCCCTGGCCCGAGTTGCCCCGGACAACTCGGGCGCCCAGAGCCCCAAATCATCAGGGGTAACAGGGGTCAGGGCCAACTCGGGTTCGTTTTTGCAGGAAGCCGAGCCCGAGTTGCCCCGGGCCCGAGTTGCCCTGGACATTTCGGGCGCCTAATCTCCCTTTTGCCCTGCTGCCAGCCCAGACCCCCGACGTCATGATTTTTTCATGACGCGACCCCCAGAAGTCCAGAGCCATTCCCCGTGACCGGTGATTCCTCCTGCGTAGTGTTTTGAAGGTCCCGAGGCCCGGTAAGGGCCCCCAGGGGCCGAAAATACAGGGAAACCTCCCGTCGTGTTTTGTCCATGACCCGAGGGGGTCTGGGAAGTCCGAGGGCTCCCCCGCGGCGGGCCTCGGCTTCGGCCGGAGCCCCGCGCCGCGCGCGGAGCCCCCGCGCGGCAGGTGCTGCTGCTGAGCAGGCTGCGGGGCCTGGGCCCGAGCGGGTCGCCGCCGGGCTCCCGGAGGGGCCCGCCGCGCGCCCCCGTGGAGGCAGCCGCGCGACGACGACGACCACGACGACATCCGCGGCAGCGACGGCGGCGGCGACGACGGCGACGACGACGACGACCACGGCCACGAGGACGGCCACGACCGCGGTCACAACCACGACCACGGCCATGACCACGTCCGCGACGGCGACGACGACGACGACGATCACGACGCTGCGGGACGATGGCGACGACGACCAAGACCACGACCACGACTGCGACTGCGGCCGCGACGACGACCACGACCACCACGACGACTTTCGCGACAACGACGACGACGAAGTTGACGTTGACCGTGGCGGCGACAACGGCGATGGTGGCCGCGACGGCGGCGACAACAGCGGCGACGGCGGCAACGTTGATGACTCGAGGAGGTGCAGCGGGTGGGGGACGAGTACATAGGAGAAGGAAGGATGAGGCGGCGGAGGGGGACCGTGGAGGAGATCGGGCAAAGTAAGGAATGGGCGGGCGGGGAGTGAAAAGGAGAAGGGAGGAGGTGGAGTAGCAGGAGGAGGAGACGAGGAGGGGAAGGCGAGCAGTGGCATGGAGGAGCGGAGGGGGAGGCGAGGAGTGGCATGGAGGAGCAGGCGGATAGGTTGGGAACGGAAGAGGGGGGCATGACGGGGAGGAAGAGGAGGAGGATTGACCTGGAACATCTGTTGTGTTTGTCCGTTTTGCTTTGTCCTCCTGCCTCATCCTCCTTCGTCTTGTTCCTCCTCCCTGTGTACCTGCTGGCGTGAGTCGGCAGGCGCGTCGCGGATGAAACAAAACCTCCCATTCCATGCTCCCTCCTCCGTCGCTCCCTCCCTCCTCCTCTTTCCTTGTGTCTCCCCCCTCCATCTCCTCCCCGCCCTCTTGCGTCACCCTTCTTCTCTCCTCCATCCTTCAGTCTTCCCCCTTCCAGCTTCCCTATCATCATCAATATTCTCCCCATCGTCATCCGCACACCTCACCCGCCCGTCCTCCCTCCTACCTCCGTTCCTTCCCCCATGCGTCCGAGGAGGAGGATGGGTGAGATCAGGAGGAGGGGACGCGAGGATGGCCACGCGCCCCCCGCAAAGGCGTGGGGCGAGGCGAACCCTCACAAGGAGGAGAGGACGCGGAGGCGCGACAGCAAGGCGCCAGGGGGGGGGGCTGGGCGCAATAGGCTGCCCTCCCTCCTTCACTCCCCCTAGGACGGAGGGCCAGGACTGGCAGGAGGAGGAGCATGTCTGGTACGGTCGGACCGAGGTATAAGATCGAGGTCGGTTCGGGGAGGGTACCCTAATGTTCTTCGTGCTGGTTAGCTGTGCTTGTGCATCCTGGGGGAGGGTACCCTCGGTGATCTCATGGATTGGGGTGTTTTGGCCAGCGGAGGGTGTCATGTTCTCGAAGGATGTGGTCATGTTCTGGGTCTGGCCGTGTGTACGGTGGGGACGCGCGTCAAGAATCCATGTGCTCTTCGTCGGCGTGCCTGGGGTTTCTTCACTCCGCGCGCTGCGCGGTGACTTCCACAGGCCGTTGGAGACGCTGCTGCGTGCAGATTGCTCGCGCGCGGGTTCTCAGGGCCAGGTTTCTCGCGAGGGTTTCTCGCGGCCGCGTTCGCTTTGGTAGGGGTTGGACGAGGGGGAGGACCTGGCCCCCCTTCCCGTCGTGAACGGGAGCACGCCGGACGGTTTCTGGCCGTGTTCGGCCTGTGGGGGGCCATGGGGGCCCTCACCGGGCCCGTGGGCACGTCAAGATGCGCCTCAGGATGATACGCCGGCCCCAGGGGAAGTGGTCGAGATCTTTGGGGGTCGCCGTTGAGAGACAAAATGGCATCGGGGGTCTGGGGAGGAAGCTATGGCATCCTGGCTCAAGCGCCCGCTTTTGTCATTGGCAATCGTGTAGCAGTTGCTAGAATTTGTGTTTTCGCGCTTTTCCACTATCCGTGCGATCAATGCTCACGGCCTCTCGCCTCGCTTGGATTCTCGATCAATTGCGGCAGGGTCGTCAAATGAGAATGAAACTGGCAACACATGAAGATCGCGTTATTTTGCAGATTGTTCTCCTAACGCGGTTTTGATGTTGCGATGCGTAACGTTGCTATATTATAGGGTTTCTTCAGTGCTTGAGGGCCTTAGCGAATCTGTTGCAGTTGACCATGGACATAGGAAGAGCTCTGGAGAAACGTTCATCAGCATTGTTTTGCGTCCTTTGCCATCAAATGGTGCTTCTGCTCTGGGCAGCCTTAAGCAGAACGGGTTGCAGTTCACCTCCGTCCTACAGGATGGTGTGTCTTACGATCAGGTGCAAGCGGAGACCGACGCTGCAGAGAGACGTGTGCCAGGTACCTTGCCGGATAATCATGCTCACCATGTTGAGGTTCCTGGACCGGGGGACGGTCACAAGGAAAGTGACGTTGTTGATCGTGCTCATGGTGTTCGTGCTGACGCCCCCCTTCGTGGATGCAGCAACCTCCAACCAGATAATGACAGAGTTTGACCCGGCCATTTGCCGGGTGGCGCAAGTTCAGCGCATCGTGGGGCAAGTTAAGTTGATGAAAGAGGTCATGGTCAAGTTCAGCGCATCATGGCCGCCGTTGGCCGGCATCTCGGAAGAGCACTCCTATGGACAAAGTTGCAATCTTTTGGTAGGTGATTGCACAAACGTCTTGTCGTCAATTGTCGGGCATGAGTTTACGCAGGAGCAAAAAGTGCACATTGAGAGAAAGATTCGCGAGATGGCCCCCGGCGAGTTTCGCGATTGGAAACGCTTCGCGCTCTCTCGTAGTGCATCTTCCTAGGGCCTTGGCGGCACTCCCGCGCCCAGTGCGAACGTACCGGCGCGCATCCAGGGCATCGCAAAGCGCGGTACGAATCAGCCCGGCAGTGGAAAGAAGAAGAAGCGATAGTCTGGTGGATTGGAGAAAAAAGGAAGATATGGCATCCTGGGTCTGGGGGGGAAGATGTTGATGAGGGATAGCGACGAGGAGGGCGGGGGCACGGAGGAGGGAGGGGTGGAGGAGGTGGAGAGACGAGGGTGAGAAAAGGGAAGGGGGTCGGAGCTTCTTGTGCCCTGTCAGTGGTGGTCCCTTTATTTTCCAGCACAAGAGGGGACCAGAACAGAAACAACGGATACCGAGTATCCTGAAGGCGGCCGTGGTCACGGTGATGTTGCTGCTGTAGCCGCTGATATCCCTGTGCCCGAAGGTGGCCCCACCCTCAAGCGAGGCATCAATGAATTGGATGAGGAGGATCAGAAGGAGTTGTTCAGCATGTTTCAGTCAGGTGACTTTGCAAGTTTCCTCGACAAGTGCCGCGAACTGGGAAAGAACCCTATATCTTCCTGACAATGCTAATCGGGTCTCTGGTGTTCGTACCGTCAAGGGTGTTCCGAGACGGCCTGCATCTCCTGAGTCAAGGTTTGTTGCGCATCGAACCTTTCAATGACAGCGTTTGCCGCGTTACCCTCAAGTCCCGTCTCACCAACAGCACAGCCATGCTACTGTTGTGCCAAGGGGGCAGGATATGTCCAGGGTGCGCTAAAGCAGTTCTACAGCTGCGCTGCTAACAAGGGGTGGATAACCTCAGTCATACCAGCTAGACCCAGTGCTGGCACGGTGTCGTCTTGAGGCGTAGCGGTGATTGTTCGCGATGACACCGGGTTACGACACCCCCCAGACGGCCAATTTGTTTGCGAGCGTCTTTTACAGCATGTCCTCATTGATCTGCTGGGGTGGCCAGGGCTCACGGTGCTCAATGGATTACCTGCGTGACTCTATCGGGCCCAGTGGTATCAATGCAGACACATGCCGCTGCGGGCAAGATCCTGACACGCGCCGCAACGCCGAGCGCCATTGGAGGTGATTGGAACATGTTTGCTCACGACCTCGGGTCTTCGGGATTTCCGCGGATGGCCAATGCGACGCCCGCCGCACTTGACCAAGTCACTTTCCGAGGAAGGACGGGGTTTTCCACCGTCGGTTTCTTCGGTATGAATAATGCAACGCTTCGCGGACACCGAGGCGCCGCAGCAGATATGCAGTGGCACATGCAGCTGCAGTAGGTAGACAATGAACATGCTATTCTGCATCATGTTTATCCTGTCACGCAGAAGTGACCCTCGGCTGCGCCGCCTGGGCCTATGACGAAACCAGTGGGTTGGTCTGTCCACGCGGCGCTTGCCGATCATGCTGTCCACCTTAAATGTATTCTGGGCTTGCACCACGCGCGTCTACGGGAAGTCCGCGGTGGTGGTTGTCAAGTACGTTGCTGCGAACACTCGAGATGATTGGAAGCAGCTGGTTCCTTCGGCCGCAACCTGGAGCCAAAATGGGTCAACGCTGCGCGTCCGACTGACGTAGAGAGCGACATTCAACGTATTGCTCAGGGATGGCAATGGCCCCAAAAGCTTGTCGCGTCTTTAGTTCGGCGGTTTTCCAAGAGCGAGATGGCGGCGCAGTGCTCGACTGAGATATTTAGTTCCCTTGTTTCTGTTTATCCTGGGCGAGGTCTCAACGGCAGGCTTGACGCCGCAATCAGGCAGGCCAGATACGAAGTCAACGCCACTCCGATGGGCAATGGGTGGATCTATTGCTTCTTGGACGAGATCGCCGTCGACGTTGCGCTGGCCGCCAGGGGTCAGCTGAATGATCCCAATCGTTCGTGGGTAGAGTGGTGCAAGGTGGCAGCTAGTGGTGGAGCTCGAGCTCTTCACAGGACTACGCGTCAAAGCTATACCGCCCCCGGCTGTTGCTGCCGACAAGCGGCTGGGCAGTCATGGCGCCGCTGCGCAGCAGGAGGTGGAATTGCGTCGACGTTTGAGGCGGACAACTGATACTGCTTCCGCGGCGCCGATTCCCGACGGGTCGTCTTGCCCACGGCTCAGACAAGTGTCATCCCAGGCGCGTCGATCTGATCGATGGCGCTGGTTTGGAAGCGCTCGCATCAGTCTACCAGGCCTCTGAGGCCATTGGAGTTCTTCCACGGCGAACTCGTTGGATCCAGGTGGCCGCGCGCGCCGAACCGAGCGGGGGCAACATATTGCGTTGCACGCGGGCACGCGCAGAACATGGCAGGGAGCTCGTCGCCCGCTGCTCAAGTTTATGCACGACGCCTCGGGCGGGGGGCGCAGCGGGGTCAGCAGAGGCAGATCCGCCATAGATTGCGCGCGGGCGCGAGCTACCAGGTCCGAGAGCGACCAGCTTGCACATCGACGCGGTGTTGTTTTTGTTGTCGATTGTTCTAAGTACTCTTAATCGATACCGCCGGCGTCTCTCAAGTATAAATTTTGCCGGCGCGGCGCGCCCACTTGCCGGCGCCTGTTGGCGCATCAAGGCCCACGCAACTGATGAGTTCGATTTGTCTTTGCAGAGAGCGCCCGCAATTCACTTCCAGAACTTTCTCGACGACAGCGGCCTTCGCAACTCGCCCAGTGAATTCGACGTCGCCATTTTGGACGCCCGAAATGGGCACGGAAAGAATGCGTACAGTGCCAAACGGCAGTTCCTGTTCATTCTGGACAGAACTTGCCGTCGGCGTCGCCGCGGCCCGTGCCCATTTTAGACAGAAGGCCGCCTGCCCAACAGCGGCCGCTGTTGGTTTGTGACAACATTTGTTGCTGAGCATTTTGCCCATTCTTTCCACGCCCATTCCAGGCGTCCAAAGCCACGGGCGCTGCCGCCGAGGCTGTCGCTCACTTCCGCACTGTGAGCGCCAATCTCAACGCTGGACCGAACCAGAGCAAGCTCGTAATCGTGGCCACATCCAACGAGCTGCCCCATGCAGCGCGCGACGAGCTTGGATTCTCCAGAAGTGCATGCAAGTCGCCGGAATCGCGCCTCGGAGCTGATAAATCGGCCGGGCGACTGAGGCATGCCAAACAGGTTCGAGCGAAGAGATTCCGCTCCACAGGCACGATAAGGAGAATGCGTTAAGCCGGGGCTATCAGGAGGCGCTTCAAGGGCCCACTTCTTATGAAGGTGAATAATCTCGCGAGAGCTCCTGCGAGTAGTTTTTGGGGCAGACGTCTTGGCCCAGTCCGTCGGAGTGGCTCGGCCAGCCCGCGGCGAGGTCTCTCTGTCCGCGGAAGTGCATTAGGGCGGGGACAGTAGCCCTAAGTTAGCGCTGGCGCCTGCAATCCAGCGGTCCCGGATGCGTTGGGACGCTGCGACTCGCCGTGACTTCTCTCTCATCAGCATGCCTGAACTTCCAGGGAGAGGGGAATTGGGAGGCCGTCAGAGCGTCGAGACTGGCGCCGCTCCAGAGGCCCCCTTGCCAGAGCCGCGCCGCGCCTCGGCCGCGCTGGTTGGCGGGCAGAGAAGCTTCTGAGATGGCGCGACCGTGGCTGCTTGCGCGTCGACGTCGCCTCGACCCCGTCCAGCCTTGATCGCCGGCACGTTTGAAGTCGGAGTTCAAAGACAGAGGGAGTTTCAGCTCGCGAAGGAACCGGGCTCCCCCGAAGGCATCCGAGCTGCGCTCGGCCCGATCAAGGATCGAGCAGGACCCGGGGCCCGCAAGTTTTCTAAGCACCAGAGGCACGTGAAAAAGAGCTGCGCGCGCAATAGTTCTTGGACCAAAGATCGCGCACAGCGCGCCCGGTCCTTGCGCGACGGGAGGCGCGTCAGAATGCCAGGCCCCCCCCCCCCGAGTTTCTGGGGGCAGCCAGAGGCGGTTCTGACGTGGCCATTTGTCACGAGCGGAGTGTTCACAATTGCCTCCTGCGTTTGCGGAGCGCGACGCGCTCGACGGCAATGGCGACCCACTCGACGCGCAGCCATCTCAGACCGATGCGCTCACTGCTGCTGCCCCCCATCCGCCTCGCATCTGACGGATCGCGCAGCGAGCCGCTTCTGCGCCCATTTCGCCGCGAGTCACGGGCCATCGCAGCGCGCCCGGGCGAAGGCGACGACCCCGTCGCAATGATGAGTGGAGTTGTGCTGGGACAGTTCCACAGACCACAGCGATGGCGGACAGTCTTGGCGCGCATGTGTCGGCAGTTGTGCAGCAGTTGTTTGCGCGTGTCATACGTTTTGATTGCTCGGCAGTTGCGCGCGCATGTCAGGTCGCGCGTCAGTTGTCTGGTTGATGCAAATTCGCAGGCATTCGAAGTTTTGCCCTCCAGCTGGAGAGAACCCCGCTCGACCTGCCCGCGCAGCATGTCAAAATACACCGCTCCGAAGGAGCGGGCGTTCGCAGTTGCGCGCGCGGCGGCGGACAGGCAGGTCAAGGTTGCGAAAGTGCGCCAATGGGTCTCCCTGTATGCACTGAAGGGGGGGGGGGGCCTTCCAAGGGGTGGGGGGCGGGGGGGGGGGGTCCGGAACCCCTTCCCCCCCTGTGCGCCGGAAAGGGGGCCGGAGAGGGGGGGCCTCTCTCGCTTCTCCTTTCTGCGCCGGAGAAGGTGTGTAGGGAGTGCGGAGTTGGGAGTACGGAGTGGTGAGTAGTGAGTAGTGAGTTAGTGCGTAGTGAGTAGTGAGTATTGGGTAGTGAGTAGTGGGTAGTGAGTGGCCAGTAGGGAGTAGGGAGTGGGGAGTAGTGAGTAGTGCATAGTGAGTAGTGTGTACTGATAAGTGAGTAGTGATTTGCGAGTAGTGAATAGTGGGTAGTGAGTAGCGAGTAGCAAGTAGTGAGTACTGAGTTGGGAGTAGGGAGTAATACGTAGTGGGTAGTGAGTAGTGGGTAGTAAATAGTGGGTGGAGAGTAGTGATTAGTGAGTAGTGAGTAGTGAGTAGCGCGTAGTGCGTAGTGAGTAGTGAGTAGTGAATAGTGAGTAGTGAGTAGTGAATAGTGAGTAGAGAGTAGAGAGTAGTGAGTAGTAAGTAGTGAGTAGTGAGTACTGAGTACTGAGTACTACGTAGTGCGTAGTGAGTAGTGAGTAGTGGGTAGTGATGAATAGAGAGTAGTGGGTAGTGGCAGTGGGTAGTGAGTACTGGGAGTAGGGAGTAGCGAGAAGTGAGCAGTGAGGAGCGAGTAGGGCGTAGTGAGTAGTGAGAAGAGAGTAGTCAGTAGTGAGTAGTGGGTAGTAATTAGTGAGTAGCGAGTAGGGAGTAGCGAGTGGTGAGTAGTGGGTAGGGAGCAGGGAGTAGGGAGTAGTGAGCAGTGGGTAATAAGAAGTGGGTAGCGAATAGTGGGTAGTGAGTAGCGATTAGTGAGTAGTGAGTCGTGTGTAGTGAGTAGTGACTAGTGACCAGTGACTAGTGAGTTGTGATTAGTGCTTAGGAACTATGTAGTGACTAGTAAGTAGGGAGTAGTGAGTAGTGAGTAATGAGTAGCGGGGAGTGAGTAGCGAGTATTGACTAGCGAGTATGGGAGTAGCGAGTAGTGAGTACTGAGTACTGTGTAGTCAGTGTTGAGTAGGGAGTAGCGGGTAGTGGGTAGTGAGTAGTGATTTGTGGGCAATGAGTAGTGAGTAGTGAATGGTGGATACTGGGTATGAGTAGGGAGTAGGGAGTATGGAGTAGTGCTTAGTAAGTAGTGAGTAGTGGGTAGTGAGGAGTGAGTAGGGAGGAGGGAGGAGGGAGTACGGGAGTAGTGAGTAGCGAGTAGTGGGTGGTGGGCAGTGAGAAGCGGATAGTGAGTCGTGAGTCGTGAGTAGTGAGTAGGGGTAGTGATAAGTGAGTAGCGAATAGCGAGTAATCAGTAGTGGGTAGTGAGTAATGAATAGTGAGTGCTCTTTGGGGCTGGGGTTAGTGGTTGGGGTTAGGATTCGGGGTTTGGGTTCGGGTGAGGACTAGGGGTCGGGGTGGCGGGGGTCGGGTTCCGGAGTCAGGGGGCGGCGTGGCGAAAGGGAGGGAGGGGGGGGGGCGGCCAAAAGGGGGAGGGGGGGGGGGTCGGAACACCCCCCCCCCCCTTTTTGAAAGGAGGGAAGTGGGGGGGTCCCCGACGACGATCGAGGAAAGGGGGGGGGGGTCCCCGACGACGGATCGGGGAAGGGGGGGGAGGAGGGGGGGATCCCCGACGACGGATCGAGGAAAGGGGGGGGGGGGGGCCCCCAACCCCCCCCTCCCCCTTGGGGTTCTCCAGCGGCGCACCCTCCAAGGTTGCCTTAGACCAGCGCCCCAGCCCGACGCCCGAGTTGTTGTTTGAAGTTGAGCTGGCGGCCCAAGGGGCCTCGTTGTTTTCAAATGTTGCCGCGGAGGTCCCGCCCCAGTTTCAAAACGACGTTCGTTTGTCTCGGGCCCGCGAATTTGCTTCAAGACGAACGCGCAGGCCGGCGACGTGCCACGACTGGCAGCCAGGCGAGGTCGGTTTACAGCGTCGTTTGTTGTTTCGCCCTTGCTGAGGGCGATGCAGGCCAGCTCCCGATGGACGGATGCCCGGGTCTGCCCACTGTGCTGCAAAATTTGCGCATGAAACCCATAGCGCGCACGATCGTCGCCTGGGCGGGGCGCTGGCTCGTGAAGTCGTGGCGTTTGGTCAGTCCGTGTCCGATCGGCCTGCGTCCCGCGAGCAGCACATTGTTTGTTTAAGATGCTGAGGGTGGTCCGGAGGGCGAGCATTGAAGCTCGGCCGAAGATGCGAGCCGCCGACGACAAGGGGGTTAGAGGTCCTCGGGGGGCTCCGACAGGGTAGGTGCCTTAATCGTCGCGTGCAGGCGCTGCTCGACAAAACTGCCTTTGTCTTCGTTTGCTATCTCCGACCAGACCCCCAGGACCTCCAGCTCCCCGTCCACTGTTCGGACTCTGCATTCGGCCTCGGATTCGGTCCGTTCCTATGAGCAGAGAATGTCTGCGCTTGTTGAGCAAATTCGGTTGAAGGGGCAGGGAGCTGCCGCTCTCTTTCCCGGGGTTCGATGGGCCGCTAGACATTCATTTCATTTCATGCCATTTCCCCTTCCTCCTCCTCCTCCTCCTCCTCCTCCTCCTCCTCCTCCTCCTCCTCCTCCTCCTCCTCCTCCTCCTCCGTCTCGTCCTCCTCCTCTTCCGTCTCGTCGTCGTCGTCGTCCTCCTCCTCTTCCTCCTCCTCCTCCTCCTCCTCCTCCTCCTCCTCCTCCTCTGTCTCCTCCTCATGTTTCTTGTCGTCGTCGTCGCTAACACCCCCTCCCGAAGAGCGCGGCTGTGCCCCCGAGGGCGCCTCCCCGCGCCCGACTGCCGCAGGAGGCCGCCGCCGCCGCCGCCGGCCGCCCCCCGAAGCGGGGCTCGGGCGGCGGCGCCGACGGCGCCGCGCCGGACGACGGGGATGAGGCGGCACGCCCTCTCTCGGCGATCGCGATGCGCGTGGTTACGCCAGGGTGTGGTCTGCGATCGTTGCGCCATAGGTTTGCTGACAGCCCTCGCCCTGGGCGCGGCAGAGGTCTCTGTCGAGGTCGTCGCCCGCCCCCCACAGGCGCGGGTTGCAAACGACGCCCTTCGTGATTGGCTCCTTTCGGAGTCGTCGACTCTCGCGCTCAGTGACTGCGTAAGTCAGGGGAAGGCCAGTTGAGGCAACGGCAGTTGGCCTTCGGGGGCCACCCTGGTCACCACGGCCGAATGCAGTTCGGAGAGCTGATGCGCTTGGACCCTAGGAGTGGGGTCGGGGATCGATCTTGAGCTGCCGTTGTGTCAACTCACCCTGCTCCGAGGCAGGGGCCGCGTTAGGGGGGGAGCGGCTATAATGGCTAACACTTTTCGCCAATCGGCCCGCGGGGATCAGGCCAGGTAAATTTGCGTGAACCGAGTTACGTCCAGGGGAATCCAGGGACCTCCAGGGCAATCTGGAGCAAATCGTGGACGCTACAGCGCGAGCCGAAGGGCACCTGACGGGGTGTTCCCGGTTCGGTCGGTTCAGCTGCGTCGCAGTCGGTTGCGTTCGGTCGGTTCGGTTCGGTTGGTCGTTGTGTCGTTGCCGCTTCGTTGCGCCCTTCTAGGCGCGCTTGCGGCCTGTCGATTTCGGTCGGTTTCGGTTTCGCTGTCGGTTCGGTCGGTTGTCGGTTGCGCTGTTGCCGCAGACGGCCTCAGCTCAGTGGGGGGATGCGTCAACCCCCCTTGTCCCCTGTTCAATGCCGATGGGGACCTGATAGCCCACCCCTCCCAGGGAAACGTGTTTGACATATATCGCTGACAGTTTTTGAACTTCCAGATTTCAACCTACACCATGCGCCTTCCTACTTCAATCATCGAGTAGACGTCCATTGCTTCCTCCAGTGCGGGCGGGAAGACACCAAATCTTCTTTCAACGCATTCTTTCTCCATGTTGTCCTCGCTTCTTCCCTTCGATGGTAAGGGGGGGATCGGCTCAGGGGGAGTTTCGACAGTCTCGCTAATGTTTCTGTAGTTTTCGGGGATCCATGTGGTTTCCATCAGCTGCACCTCGTCGAGAGCGTTCTGGGGTCGCCTGGATCGTCCCGTTCCCCAATCCGCCGCTTGTGGCTGGTGGGGGCCTGGCAAGCCCACCCCGCCCAGGAACGTGCGGATTTGTTTGGGGGGGCCTGTCGCCGATCTATCGGGGACACACTGCCGATTCCAATCCGGTTGTTCCCCTCGTGAACCAGCCCGCCCTGACGATCCTCCCCATTCGCCGACCACGTACTCGTAGTAGTGCCCCTTCGCCAGAGTGACCGCTGGCGCGGGCCAACTGGGGTCATGCTCGACGTTGAATGCGATGCGACAGCAGCGGCTTGCGCACTTGTGCCTTTCGCCCTCCTGGGCCCTCCTCAGCACCTCCAGGGCTCGATCCGATTCTGGATTCCGGCTCGAGCTTGGAGTTCTTCGCGCAGGCCTCGTCGTCGGCCGGCGGACATCGACTCCGATGCGATCTGCCATCTGCCTGCCGATTCCGGCCGATTCGATGCGTGTGGCGATGGCCGATTCGATTTCTGAGTCGATCCGGGGCCGTCCCGGGGGGCGGAGGAGGCAGGCCCGTGGCACAGTGCGGCAGGAGCCCCTTCGGGGTTTCCTGCGCACCGCTGGTGACTGGAGCCACTCTGGCGTGCACTGCCGACGTCGCCCCCTGTCGTAGCCGTCTCGCCGCGGCCCCGCTCGTCCCCCTTGCCGCGCGCCTTGTGTCGTCTTTTTGGGCTCCGCCGGGGCGCTGCGCGCAGTCGGCCGTCAAGCAAATTACACGACACTCCGTCGGCATCGCCGTCGTCCGCGTCGGCGGCGGCGGCGTCGTCGTTGTCATCGTTCGCTCTCGCTTCTCCGAGCCCCCAGGGGCCGAAAAAGGCGAAACGGTCCCATTCCATCCAAACGTGGACCATCAGTGGCCTCTTCCTCCTGCTCCGCCCGCCCAGTGTGCTTGCTCAGCTAGCTGTTTCTCCCCTTTTCCCCCGTACGGTAGGTTCGCTTCGTGTCGATTGGCGGCGACCCCGCCGCCGCCGTTTAATGTTGGACGCCGCTGGCGACTCAGAATCGGTCGATATTCAACGGTCTGACGTTTCGGATTGAACGATCCCCGCGGTGTCAGGAACCAATGCTGGGGTCGACACGACACGAACCTGCCGTACCTGCACTCGTCCCCCTTCGCAATCATCTTCCTCCCTCCCCCTCGCCCCCCACCCCCTCCCCCTCGATCTCCCCCCCCAGCTGGGACGACGACGGCGGCGAGAAGCGACGAGTACGAGTACGAGTACGAGGAGGAGGAGGAGGAGGACGACGACGGCGACTGCGACGACGCAACGACGGCGGCGACGACGCAACCACGAAGACGCAACGACGACGCCGACGACGACGACGACGCCGCCGACGACGACGACGACGGCCCGAGCTGGAGCAGCTGGTCGCCGCGCTCGAGGCCGAGCTCGAGGCTGCGGGCGCCGAGCTCGAGGCCGCGGCGCCCGGCGTCGGGTGCTGGCGCGACTGGCTACCCGCGGCTGCCTTCGGCGGCCCCCCCGCGGCGGGCGAGGCGGAGAGGTGCCCCTCCTCCTGCTCCTCCTGCTCCTCCTGCTCCTCCTGCTCCTCCTCCTCCTCCTCCTCCTCCTGCTCCTCCTGCTTCTCCTGCTCCTCCTGCTCCCTCTCCTTCCCTTCGCTCGGCTCCTCCCGCCTCCCCCTCCCGCCCTCGTCGTCGTCGTCGTCCTCCTCCTCCACCTCTCATCGTCGATCTTCGTCGTCGACCTCCTCCCGCCTTGTCGCGTCCTCCTCCTCCTCCTCCTCCTCCTCCTCCTGCTCCTCCCTGCAGCCGTCCTCCTTGTGTTTCCTCCCTGGGCCGCTTCTTCTTTGCAAACGCACAGAGTCTGTGCGGCCGGGCGGGGGGTCTGCTCAGAGTGCTGCCACTGAGCGCCAGTCATGCCTCCCCGCCTTCGCTCACCGCGGCAGGTACGCTGGCCTGGAGGAGGAGGACCGACCGGGAGCGAGGGAGCGTCGAGCCGGAGGAGCGGAAAGGTCGGGGAGAGGGCAGCTCACGCCCCGCTTGCGCAGTGGCAAGACCACGACGGATGAGTTTGGCCGCTTTCGGCCTCTTGGGTCATGATGTTCCAACCCACTCTAGCCTCGATCACCCAAAGGAATGTCGAGAACCAAGAAAGTACCGAAACCTGGGTTTTTTGGTGTCGGGCCCTGGGAGGCGACACTGTTTCGAAACTTTTCTGGATGCTCGATTTTTTTTCTGGGATGTGGCCATTAAGTACGATGGGAGCAACATAACTCTTGGGGCCTCTACTTCTCCGCAGGACCCTCGAAAGAGACCCGGGACCGTCAAACGAAAAGATTCAGGACGAACGACACCCTGGCGGCAGAGTCTTGAAACAGTGTTGCACAGTTCATGATGGGGGCCACGATGGGCCACGGCCTTTCCACTGGGCGTTCGAAGAACCGTACATAGCCCCATACAGACGAGTCTTTCAGGGAAGAGCTTGTCCAGAAGAGGGGGTTCAGACCTCCAGGCCCAGGACGCGAGATCGCCACATCGCGGCATCGGAGGTCTGGGGAGAGCAGCGGGAGGCCGAGGAGGAGCAGAGAGAGAGGGGAGGAGGAGGCGGCGGATGAGGCGGAGGAGCAGGGGGAGGGCGGGAGAGGGGCACGAGGGGAGTGGGGGGGATAACCCGTCGGCCGCAGACGCAGGAGCGCCCGCGAAAGAAGACGGATGCCGCCGGGGCCCTGCGGAGGGAGCCCATGGAACCCAGACCCCCTCGAGTCATGAAAAAATCACGACGGGAGATATTTCGCTATTTTCGGCATCTGGGGGCCCTTACCGGGCCTCGGGGCCTTGAAAAAACGACTCAGGATGGAAAGCCGGTCCCAGGGAAAGGGTCTGGACCTCTGGGGGTCGCGTCGTGAAAAAATCATGGCGCCGGGGGTCTGGGAAGGGCTCGCGTCAGGGCTCCGGCAGAGACCAGGGCCTCGTCCTCGCCTGGACGCATTTGGTCTGCGAGACCTATCGCGCTGGTCTGCCCCACACGCTCGTTCCCGTGTGGGGTTTCACTGCACTGCCTTGATGGGGTGGCGATGGTGACGATGGCGGCGATGGCGATCTTAACGTCCTGCCGCAACATCTTCGTCGCGGGTACTCTTTGGCCGACCAGTGCCCTGATCACAGTAGGAACCGAAGAGCGGCCTGGCTCCGGAGCTTCTCTGCCTGCGCAGCCGACCAGCTTTGGCAGGGTCCATTTCGATCCGATCGATCTGGTTCGATGTCGAGTTCGGCTGGCACGACACGATTCGATTCTGATCTGTTGCCGCTGATCCGATGTTGCCCAGTCACTCCACTGCGCTGTTTTGCCTTAGGCGTGTGGCGGACCCCATTCGATTCCGATTCCGTGCCCGTTCGACCCGATCTGGCGCACGTTTCGAGCCGATTCGGTTCCCCGATTCGATGTTGATTGGTCTTGCACTGGACGCGCATAGCATGTGGTCAGTTCATGGCCAGTATCTTGCCAGGATCACGCCAGTGTTGAGCGGCTCCTCGGCGTCATCCTGCTCATACTGCTGATGCAGCTTCTGTTCCCGTGGCGAGGCGGCGTGGCCGACGCCGAGTCCGCTTTCCGCGCTAAGCTGCACTTCGGGTCGCGCGCCAACCGCGCCTCCAGCCTGTGGTCGCTTGGGCCTCGAGAGAGAGTGTTTTCGCGTCAGGGGGGTCTCGAGGAGACTCCGCGTTGTTGCCATCCTAGTGTCGGTAGGACTCCTTCTTTTACGGGTGCGCCGCTTCCGCAGGGGTCCCGGGCGCACTGGAATGCATGGCAGTGTTAGCTCCGTCCACGATCTGGCGATGCAGTGGAAGATGTCGCGCGCAAGCGGAGACCTTGGCCCCGCTGTGCCCTCCACGGTCACATTGGCGCGTTCTTCTTCACATCTATATCATAATATATATATATATATATATATTATATATATATATATATATGTGTGTATATATATATATATATATATTCAGATTCTTATATTTGTATTACCCAGAACCCCCCCCCACCCCCCACCCTAAGCCAGACCCCCCCCCCAGGGACACCCCAGACGCCTTTTCAGACGTCTCGGTGGCCTCCTGGACGCCTTTGGAAAAGACCCGCTGGCCCTTCTGGGCCTACCAGGGCGCATTGCCAGGCCTTGCGAGCAGACTCAAGGCGATCAGAGGGGTCATCGGAGAGGCGCTAGAGAGACCCAAGACAGCACAAGAGCGCTCCAAGAGGAACCTCGACTGTCTGAAGACGGCCCCAGAGGCCCCCAAGACGCCCCAAGAGGCCGTTAAGACAGCCCCGAAGAAGCAAACACCTCCCATTCCCGCATGAAAGTGTATACGTTTAGCATATCCGCTTTTTGACTCTTCGCAGCGTCCAAGACGGCCTGATGGATCCCCGATGTCGCCCCAAGACGGCCCAAGAGGCTCCCCCGAGGGTTTGAAGACGGCCTAAGAGGGCCCCAAGATTGTCCCAGAGAGCCCCGGGACTGCCCACAAGAAGCCCAAGATGCCTCAGAAGGTTTCCAAGAGAGACCCACGAAAGCCATGGGAGACCCCCAAGAAGGCCACTGGAGGCCCCCAACAGGGCCTTAGATGGCTTCAGAATGCCTCTGGAGGGCCCAGCTCCCCAAGACGGCCCAAGAAGACCCCCAGGACGGCCCAAAGAGCCCCCAAAACGCCGAAACGGCGTTTTCCTACGAAGTACATCGAGCTGATCCGACGATCTTCCACGCTTGAGGCTCGAGGTTGAAGTTCCTCGATCGAGAGAGAGGCAATGGATCTAGATTCGAAGTTCGACGATCCAAGATTTTCTGGGTGCCTGGAGCCCTCCAGGCATTCAGGAAGCGACCAAATATCTAATTATTTGTTCCGAGCTGCTGCGACTTCTTCGGCGTGTCATGGGAACGCTCCTTATTTCCTCAAAGGACCTTCGCGCGTGGAAAAAAACATGTTTCCTGTCCCACTCCTGCGCACAAACGTGCAAGCTCATCGGGCGAACGCGGTGTCAACAAGCACCAGGGATACCAGAACAATGAGCCGGTCGCCCGTCCAGGCGTCGAGGCCCCCCCTGCTGAAGCAAGCGATGATTTATTGCTTTGCCAGGAGGGTCCGGAACAAGGCGCATGGCGCGAAGCGCCAATGCAGTCTTATATATATATATACATATACATACATACATACATACAGACAGACAGACAGACAGACATGCATGCATGCATGCATGCATGCATGCATACAAACACACACACACACATATATATATATATATATATATATATATATATATATATGTATATATATATATATATAAAAATACATACATACATACAAACGTGTATAAGCACCTTCTATCTAGTGGCCTTCGGTCCATCCCGCCACCGCTCCTGGGTTGTGGGTCAGAGTTCTCAGGGGTGTTTCGTCGGGGCGCTTTCGAGGGCCTCTGGGGAGCAGTTTTGGGCCTCTTGGGAGCCTCTTGGGGGCCTCTTGGGAGCCTCTTGGGGCCTTTTGCGAGCATCTCTGGCCTCTTGGAAGCTTCTTAGGGGCCTCTTGGGGCCTCCTGGGGGGCCCTCGGGGCCGAGGGCTCGAAATGTCCATCGGGCCTCCCATATGGGCCTCCCATATGGGCCCACTCTTTGGGTCGTCTTTGGGCCCTCTTGGGCCGTCCTGGGCGCCTCTCGGGCCGTCGTGGGGCCCTCTTGGGCCATCTTGGGACCCTCTTGGGAGTTTCTGTGGCCGCCTTGGGGCGATCTGGGGGCCTCGCGGGCCGTCTTGGAGCGTCGGAAAGCCGAAAAGGCGAGAAGGCCAAAACCTTGAACAGCTAATGGAAATCAATGATTTGTGCCTCTCATGGGGCCCTCTTGGGGCGCCTCTTGGAACACTCTTGGGACGTCTTCGGGGTCTCGTAGGCCGAGCTGATTGAGGCCATGTTGGGCGCTTCATGTTCCCATGTTTGGCCGGTTGCGCTACCGGAAGACGCGCGCGACACGCCAGGGGAAAACATGAAAATCCTTGTGAGATTGGTGGTCCGGGCCTTGACAAGTTTTAAGCACCCTGCAGCTCTGAACTTTTACAGGGCTGCGTGAGCTTTGGAGCACTCCGCTACGTGTTGCAGGCACGGTGGCAGTTCTCGCCATGCTGTACTCCGCCCTCAAAGCGCATGCGTCTGTGCGGTACATCCAAGTTTCCAGTGCGGGTTCTGTTCCTCCTGGGTTTGGGCGCAGATTTAGTGCCGTGGTTGGTATACAATCGATCCCGAGCATGCCGCTTGATGAACAACATGATGCTTAGAAAATGTGTGTACTACGCGTTCTGGCATCATCTACGTATCTTGGGTCCTTCTGCGCCCCATGGTCCCCGCTATCATTCTTGCATCCGCCCGCGCCAATAACTATTTGACAGCGAACGGCTCGCCGCAGGCAAGCGATAAGGTGCGTACGCGTTCCTACCAACGCGCGTAGGATGTGTAATGCGTCCAGTACGTGAGTGGCGGCGCAGGGGACGGCAGACGAGGCGAAGATGAGGGGGAGGGGGAGGGCGAGATAACGGAGCGGGAGGCGGAGAGGGACGGGAGGAGGCGGGGGACGCGGATGAGATGGCGGAGCATGGGGCGGGAGGGGGAGGGGGAGGGAAAACACGAAGACGGAGGAATTTAAGAAACGAGAGGAAGTCCCCACCTGGTCATTGCACCGCGCCCGCACGCACGAAGGCACGCAGGCACACGCAAACCCACCCGTCATTCGTTGTTTCAGTCTTCGTTCTCATATCCCTTGTCGTCCTCTTCCATCATCGTTGCTTCCGTGCATGCATGCATCCTTCCTCCATGTTCGCCGGGGTTCTACCCACATTCCCTCCTCCCGGCTCTCCGCCCTCCCTGTTTCTGCAGTTTTGTATCACTATTCGCTCCTTTTCTCCCGCACGTCCCTCACTCCCTCCCATTTCCTCTCCGCGTC